TTATTTTACTACCAGTGCTTGTCTCTTAAAATACAATAATTCAGATATGATTTTAATTAAGTTTTACATTTAATTTCTGGTCTTAAATCATAATTCATAGTGCTTTTCATCCAAAAATGTTCAATATTGTTCATATAAACAATCTATTTATTTATACAGTATTTATATCTGTGCATCATTTGATGATAGTATATCTTGAAAAAGTCTGTAAGGCTGAAATATTGGTGAATAAATAATTTTACAGGTTTTGTATTTTGCATATACAATTATGCATATGTCTCCTTCATATATATTTATGCCATTCATTTACTCAGTTATTTTCAAAATTGTGCCACAAATACGGTCAGTCGAGCTTAAATAGCTACCATTTGTGTGGTCGAAACTTGACAAAGATCAACCAATTTATATACTCAACTAAATGTCCGTTTGTACCCAAATTATCTACTTTACTAATTGAAAGCAAATAACTTCATATTTCACCTAATTAAAGCTTTGATTCGTTCTAGGAAAGCTGCAGTCAGAGTTCAGAGTTCCCCATGTGTGATATGTTATATTTTGGACACAGTGCTTATGCAGATCAGATTCGGGGTCATAATGAAGGCCGATTAGCATCCAGGACCGTAACTATCCGTTTGATAAGGTTTGAGATATTGCCTACCTTCTCTAATCCTCTAACTGGTCAGTATTCCTGAATATGCATTATATTAAAGAACTGCCGCGTAAGCCAAAAGCTCAGCAGTAAAGCCGATGTAAAGGTCTGTTTTAATGAGCCTTCGGGCCGTAATGCCAGCCTCAGAATGAGCCAGCGTTTGTCTGGACTCAGCGTTAGTAATGGAACAACAGTACAGAGCACATGTCCGTCACGGATGAATGAGAAGAGTTCATCTTGATCTCTGACATTGATCTCAAGCTCAGTCTAAACATCACAAATAACCCACGTGATCGCTTGAGCTCAAGAGCCGCTGCAGCCGCAGTCCTTCCACTGTGACTAACATAGTTAAGATGGTTTGCGAGCTGTTTTTAGCTGACAGCATGAGCAAGCGTCGGCTGTGATGATGATGATGATGATGAATGCGGTCTGGAGCTACTGTGTGTTTCATAGTAAAGCAGTGAACAGAAAGGCTTTGTTTCAGAGATGAATGAGGACTGATTTCTGTTTGGATGTTTAAGTCATTTCACGGTCATTCTTTCCCAAGCCATACAGAATGTACTCCTTTAGGGGTTAATATCGATATAGATTATGTTAGCTAGTGGTTGTTTAAAACTTGGTTCAGTTGTCTGGGGGATATTTTTAATGTGTGTTCATGGGATTTTGGTCTGAATAAAACAAAATATGTTTCTCTCTTTTTCACATATATATGTTTTTAGTCATGTTCAGTAAATGGCTTAGGTGATATACCCCGTAGACACAATAAACCAGTAGAAATTTGTCAACAGGTTGAGATTTTTGGATTAGACCTGAAAAACCTATTTCATCTGTATCTTTGTTCTATTACATTCATTTGTCCTAATAATTGATTTATGTTATTTTAGTGTAATTATAATACTATTATAGTTCTTATTAATAGTTTCAATTATTTTTTTAGTTTTTATATATTTTTCATTTTAATTTGAGTTCAAGTGTTAGTAGTTTTGTTTTTAATATGTCTATATAGTTTTTATTTCAATTTTAGTTTTAGTTATTTTTACTACATCAACTTAAACTAAATAAAAATGAGAAAAGTTTTCTTGGCAACTAATTGAAATAAAATAATATTTTCTTATTTATTTTTATGGTTTTAGTTAACTATAACAACCCTGCTTGTAATTAGTTTCTTGTTTTTATTTTATCACTGACTGTTTACATGTCTTCAATAAGACTGAAACTTTTAATTTGATTAATTAGGTTAGTATACATTTTTTCATGTGATATTGATATTGGTGTCCATAGTTGTGAAATTTCAGTGGTATCAAAAATTTTGTAAAACCTTAATGCACTTAAAAAAAAAAAATGATTATACAAAGTTGTCAATAAAACAGATTGTTAGAGTAAGTTTTACAAGAAAATACTATTTCAGTCTTTCTACTTCAAAATTGTAATTCTTGCCATTTCCTTGTAACTAGTTGTGAAATTTACTAGCAATTTCTTAGTGAAAATTGTAAATTTGTTAAAATTGTAAAGTAAATTATACACCAATTTTGTTTTTCAGTGTGTAAAAAAAAATGTAACGTAAAACCTGTGCTTTCAGCAAAAATACATTGTTATCATGCAATTAAACTCATATTGTGATATAAGATTTTGGTCATATCAGCCAATTATTAAATACAGCATTGTGGTTCCATTCATGTATGCTTGCTTCGTGAAATACAATCATCATCAGCATCTTGAACTTAATTGTGAACTTAAGTCTTAATTCATAGGATTTCATCCATAGATTTGTAAGTTTGCAACAGTCTTTTCAACAATATCTTGTTTTCTACAGCACAGACTCTTTTCATAGCTACTCATTAGCAGACAGCTACAGAATAGGACTTCCATGACAATTATCCTATCAGGTCCTTAATTACAGAGCACAAAGCAACTCAGATCTTATTAAACCCCTCACAATTCCCATCATGCCCTTGGATATGGGTGCATGTCCTCCACACCGCTATCACGACAGTGTTATGTATGTATGATATTAAATCAGATACTTTTTTATTGCAGTAAGGTAAAATTGAACGTGCGCCATGTTTCTGTGCAGTTCTGTGCACTGCGTGTCTGAACAGGAGTGAAGCATGTGGGCTGCATTCGATGGCGGTGTCCTGAAATGATGTTTGGGCTCATGATGGCGTGTCAGAATTGATTTAGCATGATAAGAATCACTGTGCTTCTCTGAGGTGCCTCAGCGATCTTTATGCTTCAGCTCTGATTGAACTTGATGTCCAGTGCTTGCCGGTCATGTTTTAGTGCGCTGTGTGGTTTATAACAGGATTCTGACCGTGCAGTATGTCCCGTATCTAGTTGCATCTCATTTGGTTGTTTCCTACAGTGACCTTGCCATACGAAGACATTTATCGAATCAAATCAAATCACTTTGTTTTCAACAGTGGTGACTTTTTATGTCAACACACATTGCAAGGTTTTTGGTGTCATAATTGCATTTAAATGACTGATCTATATGAAATTATATTTTAAATGAATAATTATTTATATTAAAGGGGTCATATGATGTTGCTAAAAATAACATTATTTTGTGTATTTGGTGTAATGCAATGTGTTTACGCGGTTTAAGGTTAAGAAAATATGTTATTTTCCATATACAGTACATTATTGGGGACATAATTACTGACTATAATGACTTATACTGTCTTTTTACGCTTTGCGTTTGCGTATTGCGCCGCGTAAACATAAAACATGTCTGCATTTGTGATCGGAGAAATGACAAACAACAAGCCCTACTCTACACTGCTCAAAACTCGCGTTTGAATCATCAGTGGCAAATTGTTTTAATATAAAAAACTTACTTAGAGGCAGGGCCGCATTAAAACCTCACTGGGCCCCGGGGCTATGACTTACTGCAGGGCCCCCCATCATAATAATGATATACAGTATATAGCTCAAAATAGGATTTTTATCCAATCAAAATTTTTTATTCATAATTCATAGTTCTTGTTACCAATTCCAATATCACAAAATAAAAATAAAAAATACTAGCCTACGTTAAAACAAACTTACTGAAGACAAGTAAACAGTCATGAATTACAATAGAAATTGACCTACAAACACTTAAAGCATGTAAAGCATGTAGAAATATTATATTGTATAAAATAAATAGACTACAAATAGACTGAATAGTCTTCACTGTATAAATTCAATATACAAATGGCAACAGCAGCTATATTAGGCTCCTTTGGAGGAATAGTTCACCCAAAAATTAAAGTTATTTTGTTGTTGTTCTAAACCTTTATGAATTTCCTTCTGCTGTTGAATGCAAACGTATATATTTGGAACAATACTGGTAACCAAACAGTGTCTGTGCCCCCATGACTTCCATAGTATGGAGGAAAAAAACACTGTACGAGCAAGTGCGCTTGCCATCAGAAACCGTTTTAACGCACGCATTTGCCAAAATTAATTCTGCCCCACTGCTTAATGTCCCTGAACAGTTAAATTAAAAACAGTTTTAAAACCACAACGCTTAATCCACAGAGCGAAGTTGTAGTATTTCCTCAGCGACCAGCACGGATCAGCTCCAGGCATGACGAAGCGGCTATCGTCCTCTTTTGGAAGGCCAAACAAAGTAGTTTCGCTTTCACAACGAAGCACACAGCGCCTTCACGACATGGCGGCGGCGGCAACAATACTACAGGGAGAATAAAAGTTACGCCTTCTTTCTTGGCGTGAACATTTGGGCAGCGTTATGCAAATCTTCCCACACAGTGACGTAGACATGTGGGGGCGTGTTTAAACGAGGCATTTTAGGAGGGCGTGGACAAGTCTTAACTTGTATAAAGAATATCTCTTTGGATTTGAGACTTTAGTCTTTGCAACTTTACAGATCTTCTTTATGCACCAAGAGCTTGTAACACTCCAAAGAGAAAGGAAAAATTGAAATCGCATCATATGACCCCTTTAATATATAAATATGTATACATTTTTTACAATATTTTTAGACAATTATATATATAGAGAGAGAGAGGGAGAGAGAATTTATTTATTTATTTATTTATTTATTTTTTGTTGAACACTTAGAAAATTCATTTTGTGTGTAGAGAATAATATTTAGCTTTAGAAAGTGAATGAAAACTGTATTTAGTGGCAGCGGGTTTGTAGCCTTTAAACCGAGAGTAAAAGAAATGTTACTGTGAAATATGCACATACATTTTTTTTTCATACTGTGCAAGTGTTTCTGTGCTTAAACTGATAGCTTGTGATACCTATTGAGTTACAGTCAAATTACTGTATAAATAGATGCATACATGCAGACCCTGGGAATAAATGCATTTTTGTATGACTCTCTTGTCTCTCTCTCTCACAGAGTGACCGACTTCTAATTAAAGGAGCAAAGATAGTGAATGATGATCAGTCTTTCCATGCCGATATCTATATGGAGGATGGAGTCATCAAGCAAGTATTTTTTTAATTATTTGATGTCATTATTTTTCTAGTTTGTCTCATTTTCATAAGTAACCACCGACAGTAGAGATGACCTTTGTTGACCTTTGTGACACTTTTTTTGTCTGTCTCCAGGCAAATCGGTGAAAACCTCATAGTTCCTGGTGGCGTGAAGACCATCGACGCCCACAGCAGGATGCTGATACCCGGTGGCATCGACATTCACACCCGCTTCCAGATGCCCGACCGGGGAATGATAGCAGCTGATGACTTCTACCAGGGCACACGAGCTGCTCTCGCTGGCGGCACCACTATGATCAGTATGTCTAAATTCAAGTCAATTCGTTATTTAGAGACAGATTACTGCAAAAAAGAGAAATTAATCCTGTAAAAATATGACAAAGATTATGATTAATTCTGATTTTTTGATACAAACAACTTTAAATTCTATCTATCTATCTATCTATCTATCTATCTATCTATCTACTTTGTATGTCTGTCTGTCTATCTATCTGTTTGTCTGTCTGTCTGTCTGTCTGTCTCTCTGTCTGTCTGTCTATCTATCTCTTTGTCTGTCTGTCTGTCTATCTATCTCTTTGTCTGTCTGTCTGTCTATCTATCTCTTTGTCTGTCTGTCTGTCTATCTATCTCTTTGTCTGTCTGTCTGTCTATCTATCTCTTTGTCTGTCTGTCTGTCTATCTATCTCTTTGTCTGTCTGTCTGTCTATCTATCTCTTTGTCTGTCTGTCTGTCTATCTATCTCTTTGTCTGTCTGTCTGTCTATCTATCTCTTTGTCTGTCTGTCTGTCTATCTATCTCTTTGTCTGTCTGTCTGTCTATCTATCTCTTTGTCTGTCTGTCTGTCTATCTATCTCTTTGTCTGTCTGTCTGTCTATCTATCTCTTTGTCTGTCTGTCTGTCTATCTATCTCTTTGTCTGTCTGTCTGTCTATCTATCTCTTTGTCTGTCTGTCTGTCTATCTATCTCTTTGTCTGTCTGTCTGTCTATCTATCTCTTTGTCTGTCTGTCTGTCTATCTATCTCTTTGTCTGTCTGTCTGTCTATCTATCTCTTTGTCTGTCTGTCTGTCTATCTATCTCTTTGTCTGTCTGTCTGTCTATCTATCTCTTTGTCTGTCTGTCTGTCTATCTATCTCTTTGTCTGTCTGTCTGTCTATCTATCTCTTTGTCTGTCTGTCTGTCTATCTATCTGTTTGTCTGTCTGTCTGTCTATCTAATGTATATAAATCATTTATATGCGATTTAAAATTGTCAGAATTATGAATTACAATTTCATGATTTTTTATAGTTAACAGGATTAACTCTGATTTTTCTGCATTAATTTGCTTCTAAATAAATATTTTTTATTTTAAAATGTTCATGATGTTTACAGTTTTTCTCAGTCGCTTTGGTGCATTTCTCAAATCAGAAATTAAATTCTCAAAACTACTTCCACATCATCTAGTCATTTGTACACATCATAAAAGCAGTTTCTCATTCTTTTGAACAAGCTGCGATTGCTTTGGTACATTCATGCAATTGATTATGTACATTTATCTGCGGTTTCCTACATGATCAGTTGCTAATGTCATGTTGCTCAAAATGTATTATATAGTTTTCTGTGCAACGACATCACAGAGTGGCACAAGGGCATGCAGGAGGAGCTCGAGGCGCTGGTCAAAGATCACGGTATGTTCTTCTGGAGTCTACACACTTTTGCATGTGTGCAACAAAAATGAAAGCTTAGGTTAGATCAGTTGATTTGTGCATTTGTGGCAATATTGATTGACAGAGAAGATCATTTGAACTTGTTCCCCAGATTTTCCTATGAAAAATACACACGTATCAAAAGGTCTAGATGCAGGACTTAAACATTATGTGTTAACATGAGATTTGAGTGATAATAAATGCTCATGGCAAGTGGGTAAATCCAGTAACTTTCACTTACTATGTGAAAGTGACTGTTTAGATATAATACTGCAGTTATATCAGTGATTATTAATTACTTTATCCACCTATAACAGTGTTCTCACATGAAAAGTGATGATTTAGGCAGTTGAATTTAAAAAAGTATAATTTTTTTAATAAAAACATTTCATGAAAATAAAAAATTTATAGTTTTTTGTACATTTTATATGAAAATCGTCTTTGAGAATAAATAAAATAAACAAGTAGAATGAATAATTTAGAATAAACAAAAAGTAAAATAGTTTATATAAAATAAATCTATATAAATGATATATAAAATATATTTATATAAAATAGTTTATCCAACTATAACATAACCTAATAATTTTTTCATAAAAACATTACATGAAAATCATAAATAATGAATTTTTACAACAAAAAATAGTTTTTTATAAAATAAACTAAAAAATATAACAGTATTCTCACATGAAAAGCGATGATTTACACACTTTGTGGCTTAAATTGCACACATTCTCAAAGGATTTAAAAATACAAAATGAATGAATAATTCAGAATAAGCTAAAAGTAAAACAAGTAAAATGTCAAATGTCAAATGCAATGCAATAATAAGAATTGGGTGCCAAAAATAACGTCACAATGCGGCAGTGTTAATTTTGACAGCAAATTTTGATTTAGTCTTAGTCATAGTCTTTTGACTAAAATGCCATTTAGTTTTAGTCATATTTCAGTCATCTGAATTGTTTTAGTTTTAGTCGACTAAATGTACAGTAAATGTAGTTATTTTAGTCGACTAAATGTACAGTAGATTTAGCCAACTAAAATCTAATGGGGTTAGTTACATTGTAATGCATTTATTAAGCAAACTTTCTAAACTCATTATATATTCCTGGAGAAATGATCTATTAACCTGGTAATATGAATGATATTAAAGTTTGAACATACAATATATACACACAGATTTAACTGCTGTGACACACAACATGCCTTTTTATTCAAACGAAATAAAACCACTTCTCATAAAGAAACAAGAACATGGTCCTCCTTTCAATGAAATACCAATGGTTATATAATATGCATTCTTTATAACAACATTCTTCATTCTTTCAACCAGACATTTATTTATATAAATTAAATTCAGAGTAATCCTTATTAGCAGGGAGTGATTTTCTCGCTTTCTTTTGTTGCTTAATTAACATTAATGACAGACTAACAGCAACTAAATTAGACTACTGTCCCTTTAAAACCGAATATTCTACAAACTGTTTACATTCGCTTGAGACATAACATTTTTGTCTCGCTTTCGTATTCATTGACGAAAATGTTAATATATTTTCGTCATAGTTTTTCTCATTCAAAACAAGTTTTTAATTCGTTATTGTCTCGTATTCATTGGTGAAAAAATGTTTTTGATGAAAATTTTGATGAGAATTATTCGTCAATGAAATTAACACTGCAGTGCAGCAGTTATATCAATAAAGTGTATACACCTAGAACAGTATTCCCACATGAAAGTGATGATTTAGGCACTTTATGGCTCAAATTACACACATTTTTGAGGGAAGAATCATTACAAGCGCGTTAACACGAATGAAATCTGCACATTTCTCTCAAAGTCCATGACCCCGTTACTTCAGCCTTGCTTGTTCCTGTAGCTCCTGCTGTCTATATGCACATCCATGTCTGATGTCTTACATCCTGGTTTTTTTTTCTCCCAGGCGTCAATTCTTTCCTGGTATACTTGGCCTACAAGGACATTTTCCAGCTAAATGACTCCCAGGTATGGATGATTTCTCATACATATTCTTTTAATAATCCTGATAAAGATGGATTAGACACTAAATCAGCAGTGAAAGTGTTTTTGGTATGTTGAGAGAGCAGTAATGATGAGTTCTCCTGATGCTCACCGGGGAACAGTCCCGTTCGCTCTGATGTTCACCACATTTCCTGTTGCTTTAGATCCAGAACAGATGACAAAACAAACTATACTGCATAAACCCAGTGTTGTTTCTCTTGTCTGTTGTAGATGTATGAGGTGTTCAGTGTGATCAGGGACTTGGGAGCCATCGCCCAGGTGCACGCAGAGAACGGAGACATCATTGCTGAGGTGAGCTCCCCTTTCATACACTAAAAAAATTAATAAAAAATAAATATATATATACACACACACACACACACACACACATA